CCATAAGAGGCCGTGTATAAGACTGATTTTGTTTATTTAATTTCTCGATATCCATAAGTTCTAAAATTTTAAAATTGTCACCGATGTTCACCATCTGTCTAATACTATTAATTAAAAAAATTATAACTTTGTTGGTGAATGTCAATTTTCAAGGTCATCGCCAAATTCACTTGGCACCCTTAATAGTTGATATTTTGGGGTTTTATTGAGTTTCTTTTGAAACCTTATGAGAATTGTATTGAAGAAATTTTAATCATTTTATTGGTACTAGATTAGTCCGCGCGCTCTGCGCGCGTAATCCTTACAAGGGGCTTAATGTATGTCAACTGTAGTGAATAGTGTTATATTAGATTTGTTATAAATGATGATAGCATACATTAAAGATATTACGATAATACTATTTTATATTATGTTTTATACTGTATTATATATAGTATATATAATATACTATATAATGTACATAATAAAAACAAATCTGATAACAATTATCATATACCTAATTCTGATAACAATAATCATATCTAATTACATACATTGAGTATACGATATTGTGCTAAATTACATAACCCATTATATATGCATAATGGATTATGTATATAATACATTATACAATGTATTCTAATACACTATAGAATATAATATAATAAAGTATTATCGTAATATCTTCTATGTCTCTATCCTCGTCTCGTGACTTGAATGAAATGGAAAGGTTATATCCGAACTAATTACGTTGTGAGTATCCTATTTGGGATAAAACAACATTAAAAAATATCTCGAGCCACAAAATGGGCCAATGTTGAATTCAATGAATCATTGAATTCAATTTAAAATATATCGTCATAGAAATTCCATTCGTAAGCAAATTGCTAATTTATTACCGAAATATATGAACTATGTTGTGACGAAAGCAATTTCACACTTGTTTTTCCCTGTTACTTAATGATCTTTCATTTGTGTTTCAGAAGGGAGAAACAGTCAATTCAATGACCATTTGCCTTCGCCAGGCCTTGAATCGTGAGAAGGACCTGAGAGATCGGCTAAAACTCTTATCAAAACCTTCAGATGAAAGTGTTGATGAAGGATATGCGGACAGCGCAGGCTTCTCCGACATTCCCCTTCCCTCCCCCTCTCCAATGGATTCAGGATTAATGAATTTTGCTGTTAATGTATTGATGAGGAGTCAGAATTTTATGGCACCGATCAGTTCCAGTTTGAGTGAACTCGAAATGAAACTCGAGAGGCTCAGCGCAACGTCAGAACCATTGAGTATCAAATGTCGATGAGTATTTGTGCGATTCAGTATTTACAAATTAAGTATTGAATTAATGGTTTAGTTAGATGGAAAATCAAGGGGATATATTTATTGTGGATCAAGTATTCATCTGTTGCATTTTGTTCAACATTCGAATCATTTCAATAATTGAATTTAAGAAAAATGTTCAGAGGTGATTTCGAGAGGAGTTGGTAGATTATTTTGGAAATATCCTGGACAGGAAGAGATTCAGAAGAATTCATCAAGCGAGGTTCTTGTGGAAAAATTTGATGAAGCACAAAAATGATTTTCTCATATTTTTTCTTAAGGCCCGGGTGTACTATCTTTCCAATGTTATCTGTATTTTTTTATCTTTCGCAATCCAAAATTGTCAGTTGAGTGGTACATCATGTAGAAATTCCCAAAAATTATGATAGAGTGATAAAAAAATTAGAAAAAACTCTGAACTTTTTCGAAGAGCGTTTTTAATTGAGATTCAGAATGAGTTGAAAAAAGTGGAAATTACAAATATCTGATTCGCTGTGGCAAATTATCTATTAGCTGTCATTTTCCATGGTGGATAACAAAACACTAACTCCTCATGGGAAGTGACAGCTAGGTATCTCAATTTTCAAAACAGTGGTATGTAGCCATCTGCCATTTTCATGTGATAAAAGTGTGATTAAAAATTCCCCAAAATATTACAACTTTTTTCAAGGAGCCTTTTCCGTAATAAATGTCTCTGTGCAGTGTGGGAAAAGATTTACGAAATCAGTCTTCCCCCTGCATGATATTGGGTGACAGACCGCCATTTGTCGCCGTAAATCAGATACATTTTTCAATTTATTGTTATTCAACTTATTCTGAATATAAATTAAAAATGCTCTTTGAAAAAATTAAGAATTTTTTCTACTTTTTTAAAATTATTCATCGAAAGATGAAAAAAAACATCGAGATAACATTCGAAAGATAGTACACGCGGGCCTTAAATAATAATTCCTTGCTTCAAAGATATATGCGAACTAATCTCTGGGAACATTCTGGAACCATCTCTTTTTGCTATTTTACGAGAGATTTATTTGCGAATGTCCAAGTTCAGTGTAAAGTGTTATGTATTCTGTAATTTATCTGTTGTATTTTTTTAGTATTACAATTAATCGATTCACTTGAATAAATTATTCAGAGATTATATGTATGATAATTAAGACGAAGATTATTGTAATGATATCGTCGATGATATTAAGAACGTGTATAATTAATTTATACAATGACAAATCATCTATAGTCACCCATTAAATTCTGCCCAATGTTTTTAAAAACTGACTGAGAGGGAAATTTATTAATTTATAATTTCAGAATTTCATTTCCTGCTGTGTCAATTGTATTTTTGTGAGAAGAAAGACCAGTCTTCTCTGGATTAAAAATGGATTAAAAATTGATGAAAAATGGGTGAAATCGAATATCGGAGGGAATGACTTGATAGCAGTCCGGTGGGCACACAGAGGAGATTTATAATATACTACATGCATTATCGTGAGCAGTTAGTGTTGAAAGAATATACACATGAATTGTAACGTGGTATTTTTTATTTTCGACTGTTCGGCGGTTTCTGAGATTTCCGGACGTCCAGAAGTCAAACCATTGACGAGGCGAGGGTCATTTGATTTATTATTTCGGACCATATTTATTAATTCAGTGGTGAAGTGGTAAACCGGGATAAGTCGAAAAATCGTGATTTTCCGCTTTGAATTTTCTGCAACTAATTGATGATTTCTCATTGATTATGTGACAGATTATTGTGTACACATTCACAATACCTAAATTCACTAACTTGTTCCGCTTGTGGACAAGAGCTATGAGACATAAGTCGACTTGTCTCGCTTAGATTTTCTTTATTTGCGAGATAAGTCGACTGAAGTCAGATTTTCGTCTTGTTCCGTTTTTTATTTAAATTAACATATACACATGATTTTTTGTTTTCGCTCAAACCGTTCACAGGGGTTATGTAATATGACATGCACAAGCGTTTTCTGGCAAAAACTCATTTTCTAAAAAAATCGACTTATTACGGTTTACCACTTCTCTACTAAATTGATTTTGTTTTGTGAAGTGCGTTACAGAATCTACGTGCAAGCTCGATTGCTCATTGATAGAATAACTGCAATTTAGCGACGAAATATCGAATACTATAAAAAGAGTAACCGTATAAGGTATTAAAATATTATACCACACGCACGCCAAAATTTAATAGAAAAACCTAGCAAATTCCCCAGACAATTCTATTGGATTTCTATTCAACTTTCTATTAGTTTTTACACGATTCTATTGAAATATTCAGTACAAAATTTTCTATATGGAAATATCAATAGAATTCGATTTTTCTATACAATTTATTCTATTGACATATTTTTTATAGAATTTCCTCGGCTCAAATTTTCTGAATTTTTTTTCACTTCATTTTTTTTCTTCGTTAAGAAAATCAAACAAGTAAAATTTTAAAATTTGAGCCGAGGAAATTCTATAGAAAAAATGAAAAACTATGATTATATATTGGGCGTTAGCATACGAGTGTTTGGCGGGTTGAATTTTCACAGTACTGATTGCTATTGTTGCACATAAAGGTGCACGATGCAAGCGATAATTTCCAACATTAATTTGTGTTATTATTTTGTAATAACATGACTAGACATTGAGTCAAGACCCTGAGGAAGCCAAAATTATATTGGCGAAACGTCGCTTCTTTTGACAATTTAATCAACGTTGTTGTTATTTCTCAAAAATCCCCTGACTCCTTCACTGTATGCTTATATATATCCTTTACGCCTTGTGGGCTCGACGAAGGCGACATAATCCTGGGATGAATAAATTAGGAGATGCTAATGATTAATTACTCTGTGAATCTGATATGTAATCTTTATTTTTCCTGATATATTCCGGACGAACATCATACATTTGTCTTACACTTCGTCACAGACATGCACCTCTGCACATTTTCCATCTCAAATTCTACTCAGTCATCATCCCACTGTTTTCGATTTTTGATACATTTTCCATTTTTACATCTCTGAAATCCGAGTTTGAATTTTGCATTAAGATAGCTGTTCTCTCGTGAAAGACATAAAGACACATGAAGATATACTTACGCCACCAGGACATGGTGTCCCATCAAATGCACGACCAGTGTTCCAACATATCAACCACCGTTGGCATTCAAGTTCCTGGCAAACATCTGATGACTGCAACAGCAAATTGAATTTTTTTTCAAAATTATAATGAGAACGATTTGCGTATCGATCTGGATCAGTGCAGGGTAATCAGAAGTTTAGTGCGGGAGAGGCTCTGAGTTAAAGTGACGGGTAAGGAAGGATTCTTGAAGTCAGGGGTAGGCGAGGAAAAAACCACTATGAATTTACGTTCAGACGGGAGACACGCATATTCTCCGTAGGATTTCCTATAGGAAATCCATCCATAGGAAAATCCTATAGAAATCCTATAGGAAAGGTTCAAATTCTACATAGGATTTCCTATAGGAAATCCTATGGAGAATTTTTTTTTTATAGGATTTCCTATAGGAAATCAAAAGTTTAGTTCTTAACTTCTTAGTTCTCCATAGGAATCCTATAGGAAATGTTCAAATTCTCCATAGGATTTCCTATAGGAAATTCTATAGGAAAAAAAAAATCAAAAAAATTTCCTATAGGAAATCCTATGGTAATCCAATCTCTACGGATTTCCTATAGGAAATCCTATGGAGAATTTGAACATTTCCTTGTGCTGAATTTCCTATAGAAAATTCTATGGAGAATTTGAACATTTCCTATAGGATTTTTCTGATAATATTTCCCACAGGATCTCCTATAGGATTCCCTATAGAATTTCCTATCAGATTTATGACCCTAATCCTGACCCTTGTGACCGATTGGTTTCGAGTCTCAATTTTGTGTGTTACTTTCTATAGAAAACACTATAGTGAATTCTATAGGAAATCCTATAGGAAATCCCACCAGAAAAATCCTATAGGAAATGTTCGAATTCTCCATAGGATTTCCTATAGGAAATCCTACAGGACTTTTTCATACGTGGTGTTCACCTACTTGGCAAGCTTTGGTATAGCCTTTCCATTTGCACTGCGTTTCCTCGGTGATACTTTTACCCGGTAATAATTCCTGATCCACCAAATCTCCTTGTGCTGAAATAGGAGTGTCATTGTCTAGACAATCCTCCATCTGTGACCTGCATCCCGGAAAAATTTTCCAATAGATTAGTTATTCTTTAACAGATGTTCGGAATGAGGGAAAACAAAACCTACCGAAGTCTGTTGGAAATGCTCTCTTTACTACACCGAGACCACTCGAAAGGACGCGTCTGTAGGACATAATCATTAGTCATTATGTAACCGCTCGTAGCCAAACAGTCATCCGGTGATCCGGGTTCGTCGTGCCTAGCCCCCAGTCTACGGATTTCATGACATATTGTTGATCATATTACAATAGACTTAATTGCAGTCTTGGGGAGTTTCATATTTGAAAATTAAATTTTTAACATTCTTGTTTAAAGTAGCTCTACCGTTCGGCCGGGTTACGCTGTACTTTTGAATATTTTTAGTTTTTAAATTTTTCAACTAAATAATATGGACAAAATTTGACAAAATTCGTACTCAGTCAGTATTATCTAAATTAAATTTCGAAAAATATTATTATTTTTTCAAACATTTCCCTCTTATAAATAAATACTAAAATTTGTTTGCAAAACGGTGAATTATTTTTTATGAAGTGTCAAAAAAAATCTTGATTTTTTCACATCTAATAAAAAAAAAATCAGATTTTAATCTTTGATTACAATGGAAATGTTGAATTTCACATAAGACACTGGGTTAAATCTTGATTTTTAAACATTTCTTCTTTGAAAAACCAAAACGATAATTAAATTGAGAACAAAATTAGAATTCCGAATCGAGTCGAGTTTTCTGCAATTTTTTTGCAGTTTTCAATAATCTTTGAATTTGCCGCAAGGGTAGAGCTACTTTAAAAGCCATAGTACGCAAAGATTTAAAACGGCCGATGGATTTGGAGGAAAAATAGTACAATCGCATTACGTACAGATGAGCAATTTCGTGGGCTGCGACCTGTACCCCTGAATACTTCATATCATCGTGAATTACTGCAGTCATCATTCGCCGACCGTAAAGGCCAGGACACCATGAGTCAACGTGGGCAGTTCCTTTTTTTCCAAATTATATGAAGAATTAATTTCGTCGCTGTTTCATTAAGTCGTTATTTATTAATGAATCCCTTACCCAAAATTGTTTGTTCACCACAGACTCCTTTCTTCATTGAACAGAGCGCCAAACTGAAAATTTATAAAAATACAGGGTGACGTCAGCACCTTGTTTACAAATTTTAAGCAGATATGGAATAAAAATCGGGAATTCAGTGGTACAAAAATGATTAAATTTCGACAATAGACTTTCAAATGGTGAACATTAGAATTGTTCGATATTTCAGCCAATTACATTGCGATCGAGTACCGCCATAATTGGAAACGGTGACGCAGATGTCAATGGGATTTGATATGATAGTTAATATCGCTCTTAATCACTGCGAAAAATAATGCTTGAATTTCAGACACTTTTCAAACACTTTTGGGACGATTTTGTAGATTAAAATGTGTCTGAATCAATGGAGGTATTTCAATTTCAGACACCAAGATGTTTGAAATTAAGATACAGACATCAGTTTCAGACACAAGCGGTGTTTTGAAATTTTCAGACATCAATTAGATTTTCAGACACTTAAAGATTCAGACTTTTTTTGCTATCTGCCATCTTAAATTCAGATGGTTGTCAGACACCTAGTTTTTGCTGTGGATGAGTCAACTTTTTAAAAATGAGAAATATCTTGGAAATTGATGTTTGAATGGACTTCCCGAATCGACGGTTTGGTTCTGATGGGACATACACAGATCTTTCAAGATCTCTCCAGATCTAGATTGATCTGGTAAATCCTAATCAGTTCTGCGACGTACTTTTCCGGAAACCTTTCGAATCCTCTGTTCTTTTCGGCCCTGAGAAGTCCTCTGTACTACCGAGACCGCGGGATTTCACGAGGGGGGGGGGGGTAGGCATTATGCGGAGGGTTGAAATTTGTAGCCAACGAGGAGAGAGGGTTGCAGAATATATTTTAGCCACCCTCATCTCTCCGTTTGCAGGCGGTGTTTAAATAAAAAATAGAGAACGTTGATTCTGTATTCATTGACTCCCTGATGCCAATGAAACTCTCAGAGGTGACAAAAAAGACGAAAAAAAAATTTCATTTTCATGTGGGTCAGGGGTCAGGGTGAAAGTCGATTTTCGCCAAAATCTAATTTTTTAGCCGGGTGAACGTTGATTCCAAGTATTTAAACGACGGGCTATTCAGAACTCTCAAAAGTATGTGGAAATAGTGAAAACTGAAAAAGTGTTTTTTTTTTTCAGATTTCCAAAGGGTCAGATTTTCCGTTTTCCAGGGGGAAAGTCGACTTTCGCCAAAATCGACTTTTTTAANGGGGTCAGGGTGAAAGTCGATTTTCGCCAAAATCTAATTTTTTAGCCGGGTGAACGTTGATTCCAAGTATTTAAACGACGGGCTATTCAGAACTCTCAAAAGTATGTGGAAATAGTGAAAACTGAAAAAGTGTTTTTTTTTCAGATTTCCAAAGGGTCAGATTTTCCGTTTTCCAGGGGGAAAGTCGACTTTCGCCAAAATCGAATTTTTTAACCGGGTGAACGTTGATTCCAACTATTTAAACGATGGGCTACTCAGAACTCTCAAAATTATGTGGAAAAAGTGAAAACTGAAAAAAAAAATTTTCACCGGGGGCCAAAGTGTCAGATCTTGGATTTTTCCAGGGGGAAAGTCGACTTTCGCCAAAATCGAATTTTTTAGCCGGGTGAACGTTGATTCCAACTATTTAAGCGACGGGCTATTCAGAACTCTCAAAAGTATGTGGAAAAAGTGAAAACTGGAAAAGTTTTTTTTTTCAGATTTTCAAAGGGTCAGATTTTCCGTTTTCCAGGGAGAAAGTCGACGTTCCCCAAAATTCAATTTTTTAGCCGGGTGAACGTTGATTCCAACGATTTAAGCGACGGGCTATTCAGAACTCTCAAAAGTATGTGGAAAAAGTGAAAACTAAAAAAAAAAAATTTTCACCGGAGGCCAAAGTGTCAGATCTTGGATTTTTTCAGGGGGAAAGTCGACTTTCTCTAAAATCGAATTTTTTCGCCAAGTGAAGTTTGATTCTGTATTGATTGGCCCCTCTAATGCCAATGACCCTCGAAGGCGCCAGAAATGTCGAAATAAAAATTTTTCTTTTTCATGCGGTCCTAAAGTGTCAGTTCTTGAATTTTTCCCGGGGGAAAGTCGACTTTCCCCAAAATCGGATTTTTTCGCAAAGTGAATGGTAATGCACTGCTAATGCTAAGGGTAAGCTAGTGGGGAATCCCTTTGATCGAAGAACTCGTGGATATATTGAGACTGGCCACCAAGGTTGGGCTTCCAGTATCAAAAACGTACTTCAGTAAAAGTGGAGCTAAAATAACTTAGAAAGTTCGGTGGCACCGGGGAGGCTACTCAATCCCCCTTCGCTTGCATAGCTAAGTTAAACTAAGTCGACTGGAACCGTTTTGCTTCTTTCCTACTGAACTACTACGTACTTTGTCTGCATGGCGATTATATCGTAGGTTGCATCAGGAATAGAGTATTCCAGCCAGTTGGCTGCAATAATTCCAATTTTATTATTTAACTTCCCTGATCTAATATTTTCGTTTATGAACGAAATTGCATTCCGGTCCTGTAACAAATAGAATTCTTCTTCATTAAGTTGACAGTCTCAAATAAGTTGTATTTTTCTATATATTTTGAAAAATTTTACTGCTTCGTGCGATGAGATATGATCATTTTCAGTTTAAAGAAAGCTCGCTATACACGGAGAGAAATATTCAAGAAAAATTACGGAACATTTCACGTAATCCGCAAGCGAGAATCGTTTTCAGTGAATTTCTATAGGAATATAAGAGAATAAATCTGAAACGTTTAGCAAATTTTCGGGTCTGTCACCGAAAAAATACGAAAAAGTCACGTAAATTTTCTGGAAGTTGTAAAATCTAACAGAAACTTCAAGACTTATTATGCCTCAGAACATGAAAATTCTTGGATGTTTAAGAATTTTTACGAAAAATTCCGGAAAAATTCCGGAACGTGCTGTTAAAATCTCCCCCTCACGGTGACTCATGGCTAGCCGTGAGGCGTCAGACGGATGAGTAATTTTTACGGAACAGATCGTAGAATTTACGTGACGATTAACACTTTTTATTGAACTTTACTTCGCTCCCAGATTACGTTTCGAAACGTAATTTTTACGTCTTTTTTCTGGTAATTTTTATTGAATATTTCTCTCCGTGTAGGTTTAAAATATTGTGGTATTAGTAGAATCGTCAGCTATTCATCGAGTTTTGGTCTATTAGAGTATTGGTCGCTCAGTGGTCAATGGGTGGTGATTGCTCGACCATCGATCGTCTTAAGATCGACTTACTACTAATAATTAACGATCGACTAATCGTTGACCACCAATTGACCAAGGATCAACAGACGATTCATCGGCCATCGACTGAGCGAACAAGTCGTGAGAACGACAAAAGTTTTTATTGCAAATCGTAATGTTTTTCATCGGTATATCATAATTTGGCTCACCATATTGATCACGATGCCAGTCAATCTCCACTGTATTTTTGGATCCTTAAGAGTGCTGAATCGAAGATTAACTGAGTTCCAAAAATTTATTGTGTAAATAATCAGCTTCAGGAAGCGCACTTCGTAAATTCTGTCAAATAAATTCAATTATTGTTTTCGACCGATGATTAATTGGAATTTACGATGATACTGGTAGATATATTACGTGGTATATTTTTCATCATAATCGAGGATGACCAGCACTTCGGGATATACTGTTTCACCGCTAGATCGTTTTAGTCTGTCGTAAGATGTTTTGTTGTATTTTGTTTCTGGTTTCTTGAATAATTCGGGGTTTCCCATCTGAGCTAAAAATCAAAATCAATCGTTCTACGATTGATTGGTACAAAAAAATTACGAAGTTAACGTGAAGAAACTTACGAAGAGCAATTGTTCCGTTCGGGGATGTCTTGGGTTTATAAAGTACGTGATAATCCGAAATGGAAAATTTTTCAGAGTCATTAACCCTTGCTGGTTCCGAAAAAAGATGGGGTTTTTCCTTCAAGAGACTTCTGATAGCTCTTTTTGATAATGGTGCTACTCGCATATCGCCAATACTTCCAATCTGCGTAGATAATATACGGTGATAGAGGACAGTAGAGCAAAATATCCCAAACCGGTTCTAGGATATCTATTCTCCGGAAAATTGTTTCCGGAAAATTGTTCCCTATATTTCTCATAGGGTGAACAGACCAATAGCTGTACTCGGGCCAATACTAGGACAATTTTACCTTTTATTGAATATTCTATAGATAATAGAATGAAAACTGTACGAAGTATTATCATTATCAATAATAACACTTATGTATAATCATGTGATGAAGTTTTTTTTTCGAAATATCAACATTACAGCGAGAAAAATAAAATATTTGAGAGGTACAGTGGTGGGTGGCGTGGCGCTGCAATTTGCTAAGCATCAGTGACAAAGTGTCGTGGAGAAAAAAAAGAAGTTCTCTTCCGAAAGAGTCAGATGTGGGAAATAGCACAATATTTTCAGGAGGAGAATCACATCCCGAAGATTGAGAATCTATTTGGCCTTGTATTTCTTCGCATTCAATAAAACAAAATTCACATGTTTGTATAAACTGGATGAAAATTCTATATTCCTCCATACCGTCCATGTATTGGCCATGCACCGTTCATCTATTGGCCCTAACGTCCAGTTATTGGGGATTTGGACGATATTCCACTTTTCCCTCATTTAATTATTCTTCTCTTCATTTTTTCCACTTCAAATTTTTGTTTTTCCTAATTCGTGTATTCTTTCAGGCCTAGAACTCATTTTTTATTCATTTAGCTACTTCATCTATTTTAAATCCTTTAATGAAGTTCAACAACACGCTCTTTGACCTTTTTTTTAATAATTCAAATCTGTAAAGGGGAGAGGGTTTTTCCAGGGCAAGATTTTTAGCGAACGTTTTTTCGGAAATGAATCGCAAAATCAAGCAGAAAGGAAAAATAAAAATAAAGATCTCTTACAATGTATACCATTTCCGCCTCACTCACAAACCCTGTATCAATCATTATCTACTGTTCAAAAAAAAAAAAAACACTCATATATCAACGTACTCAATTAATATTATATATGCAGTTTGAAAAAGAAATTATATGAAAAATGTATTCACTGGCTGAAGGCCCTCGGGCAATGGCCTGTTGCGAGCTTGCTCGCAACAAATTCCTTTAAAAATTAAAATTAAATTAAAAATAAAGTATGAAAAATATGGAGAAGATTGGTCCGGGGAACAACTTTTTGCGGAAAGATTTTCCGGGAACGAATTTCCGGTAACGATTTTTCGGGGAACAAGCCTCCGGTAAACCCACCAAACCCATTCCGGTGCCAAGAATACGAAACGTATCGGCGAGAAGAGAGTGGGGGGAAGCCCCGGTGTGTTAGTGTGTCATTAGGAACGCATTATGGCGCACGCACACCACAACAAAATGGCAAGAAGTGGAAAAACACCTGGAGTTCATTAGTCCGCCGGAGTGGGCTAATGAACGTGGTCTATAATCAATAAAATGACGCATGAAAAAATTTCATTAAAAAATCGAGCAAATTCGATAAAAAATTATATTACGCCGATTTTATTGGACTAATCGGCAGTTTTATTATGCGGTTTTTTGTAGAAAATGTCCAATAGAAACTATTTTATAGAAAAAGTCAGAAGAACTTCATCTTTCTACACAAATTTGTTCTGCTGAGACATTTTTTATGGGAATTTCTCGATGTGAATTTTCCCAGTTTTTCCCACCCCATTTCTCTTCTCGTATTTTCTTCTAAAAAATATTCGGTAGAAAAGGTCAATAGAATTCAATTTTTCTATACAACTTATTCTATTGAGATATTTTCTATAGAATTTCATCGGCTCAAATTTTCCAAGTTTTTTCGTTTGATTTTCTTGATGAGAAGAAAATAAAAATAGAATGAAAAAAACTTAGAAAATTTGAGTCGAGCAAATTCTATAGAAAATATATGAAAAAAATAAGTTATATAAAAAAATCGAATTCTGCTTTTTCTATTAAATGTTTTCTACTGAACATAGAATAGAATCAGCCAAAAATTAATAGAAAGTTTGATAGAAATTCAATAGAATTTTCTAACGAATTCCATAAGTTTTTCTATTCAATTTTTTCGTGCGTGACTATCTTCAGTTTTAATATTAAAAAATGCGCACGATAGATGAAGGCGCCAGCGACTTCGAAATTTACCAAATAAAAATATCTAAATTGATCCAATTTCTTACAAAATATCTATTATTATTTTTGTCAAGAGCGGTTGCCACTGATGAAACCACTGCCGGATCTTCGTAGAACATCACGGCGTCACTGATGACCTGAAGAGAGAATTCAATTATTAAAGACAATGAATCTACTGACATAATCAAGAGGTCTTTCATAATATTTTTACATTTGTATCAGCTTCTTTGATTGTTTCACTGTCATAGACCAGCCAAATTGGCGTTTCTTTACGAATCACGGAATTCTCCTTCACAGTCCATGAGACATCTTTTCCGGATCTTCGGAAACGTATCTCTTTCTCATTTCTACCTCCAGATTCTATATCTCGATGTTGAAATTGGACAATTTCATAATCGCCATCTGGGAATAATATCAAACAGCATAAATGTAATGGAATGAAAGTCTGACATAATGATTACTGATTGCACGTGATTTCAAATTGATTTTAAAGTGGTTTTAAAGTGACTTCAAAGTGATTTAAAATTTTCCATTTAAAATTATTTCATTACCATAAAAATTAAAGTGTTTCTCGTAATGATTATCAGAGATTTCCTTAAATAAGATTCCTTTTTTTTAATTGAAAATTTCCCTTTCATGTTGATCTGGTAGATGACTTTGCATGAAAAAAAAGCACTGAGCTCATTTGTCTCATTGGAGAAAGAAAAAATAGAGGCCCTTTGATCCCGCCATCTTATTTCATCCCGTAATCGCATTTTGCTCCAGTTTCTTCTAATTTTCTTTCTTAATTCGGTTTTTTTCGTATTGTTGCGAAGAGAGAATATTTCTGTCGGTAAACCGTATGCATCAAAACGGGTGTTGAATCAGTAATAAATGTTTCTTTCTTTTCCAGACATTTCAACATAAAATTTTACATAAAATTTCAAATCATCTCACTTATTTGGTTATCGCAAGTGATTTCAGAACTGATTTCATCTGAATTCAATCCAGAGTGACACAGTGATTTCCCCAGTGAATATAACCCCTCGCGTAGAACTGAGGGGACACGGATGAAAATATTGCATAGAAAAACCTAGCGAATTCATTAGAAAATTCTATTGGATTTCTATTGAAGTTTGTATTAGGTTTTGGTCGATTCCATTGAAATGTTCAATAGAAAAGTTCAATAGAATTCGATTTTTCTATCGAACTTATTCTATTGAGATATTTTCTACACAATTTCCTCAACTAAAAGTTTCTAAGTTTTTCTGTTTGATTTTCTTGATGAAAAGAAAAGAAAAATACGATGAAAAAAACTTGATAAATTTGAGCTGAAAAAATTCTATAGAAAATGTCTGAAGAGAGTAAGTTATATAGAAAAATCGAATTCTATTGACTTTTTCCATTGAATATTTTCTATTTAACATTTCAATACAATTAGCCAAAAACGAATACAAAGTTCAATAGAAATCCAATAGAATTCGCTAGGTTTTTCTATGAAATTTTTTCGTACGTGGATTCACTCAGATAGTTGCTTAGCATCACGATCTCTATTACATAAATTATTGGAACAAGTGAGATAAAAAAAAATAAAATCATTTGAAATAGTGCAAACGCTAGAAATTTCCATGGTATTACATGCAGTCAACAATTTTAAGAAATAATTTCGAAATGACGTGAATCAGCAATCACTATCATGAAATTTAGTAGAATGAATAGCCACTTGTGTGAGAGAATTTCATAGAAAAACGGAGGGAATTTGCTAAAAATTCTAATAATAATAATTTATTCCTCAAGTGCATGAATTTCTTCTTTTGTACAATTTGTTGACAACATACAATAGATCTCACAGTGGCAGTAATAACAATAATCACACACATTGATAATCGCTAAAAAATTCTATTGAATTTCAATTGAACTTTATATCAGATTTTGGTCTATACTCTACTGCAAAATGCCGCAGCTTATATCTGCGCGTTTTATTCAATAGAAATGTTCAATGAGAAATATTGTACCGAAAAAATCTATAATAGCAATTGAACTAAATTTTCCATCTATAATAAATTGCTAGATTTTTCTGTGAAATTTTCTCGGGCGTGGCCCCAAACGGAGAAGACAATGAACATATTACCTTGCAATTGGGCATCGCCAAATAGAGCCAAATCTTCTCTGAGCAAATCGCCACTTTCGCTCTACGAAAGAAAACCTGAATTTGCAGTGACGAATTTCAATTTTTGGAAAAAGTATATCTGAATCATGTACTCACGCCACTGACAATGGCAGCAAGGATGATATACGCTGGGAGAACCGTAAATATAAAAGAGAGCAACTTATTCATATTGCTTACTTAGACACAAAATTTGACTGATTACCGGAATAATGCTTCCACGGAATTTATAAAGCCGCCTTATCATTGGAATCGATTAAGCGAATGCACACCTCAGATGGATTGCTACTATATTAATCTTTATGGAGTCGTAAAACGGTCATGTCGTCCAAAAATTGGTAATTAGATTATATATAACTGCTCCAATGAATTTTTCGGGGAAGCTGAATTATTTCGTCATTTAATACCAATAGAAATTGAAATCAATAAGAAAATTGAGTCGGACTCAATTAGGTAAATAACTTGAAGGGGGTGACTGGGTCAAATTTTAACCTTTGTGGGGTTCATATCAGCTGCGTCCCCGTCGTGAACCCTGGGTAATGCTAAGTGCTGGTGAAGCTTGATACTTTAAGAAGATCTTGATACTTTAACAAGATCTGGCAATAAACTTACCTGTTTGTCCTATCAATTAGCACCCTTTGGTTGCCATCCAATTGGTAACAAACGCGTTATGGAAAGAAACAGTGAAACCCTAATCAACAGTACATTACACACTATAGTCCCTCATGGAAAGAACATATATCCGGACATATATTTCAGTATATTTCACTTATATTTCGGCCAAAAATGTCATATGCCAGAGGTCTCCTAGATATAAATATGCACATATATCTCGATGTAAAATATTTAACATATATCTGCAATATATCTCAGATATATTTTCGGCCAAAAATGTGGTATACCAAATATATGCTAGATATAAGTGCTGCATATATCTCATTCCCATAAGGGGTATTGTCCCTAAGGACTAAAGGAAGATAAGCCAAAGGATTCATAATAAACATTCATCCTTGTCCTATTCATCATATACAGTTGAAAAATTTGAACAATAATTTTCCCAGATGGTGTCGCACCAACTTTTCCGCAAAACGAGCTCACAGACGTGTCCACGTCAATATCTATCGATGGATATGCTGCGGATCGTCGTTTCCAGTAAACTCATATTTATCGCATTGAATTCAAAACCGTAAAGAAAGTCATAACTGTTCTCATAGCCTTGAAATAAAACTCATTCCGTTAAATCTTACGTAAAATCGTTGATTTCGTATCTAATCATGGCAATTCTTCACTCACCGCTCCAAAGCTTCCCATTGACATAACATAGAATTTCCCCGCTGTCAATTGACAAGGCTTCAAACTCCTCATCATAATGGGGATAATCATGAGTTGCAATTTATGAGGCATGTAGTACCATTCATTTTGATACCTAGATACGAGAAGGAAGACCAAAAGTTTGGACACTGCCAATCCCCAAAATAACCATTGAATATGTGCTCGTCTCCTTGAATGAGACGACTACATATTAGAATAATGAATTTCTCTTAATACTGACGCTGAGATGAAGACACTTTCACTCTGTACAATGAGAATGTGTCCCAACCAACTGATCCAAAATAGATGACAGACTGTTCCCATGCACATGAATGTGATCCTAATCATCTCATTTGGATGGGATGCTTTAATGACCGCCTGAAATGATAGAAGTCTATTGCCTCTTGTTCCGGCATCAATGTGGAGTAGGGGAGGGTGTGCCTGTACCGCTTAGCGGGTAATACCGCGCACCCGATTTTCTCCGCAACCATCAACGTAAAAATTTCTTTCTGTTCCTGATCATGAAGAATTTGATAATAGGATGTGATTGTCGGAAAATTTTCACTTTATTTACCACTTTAAATATGAAAAAACACGTAACGAAGTTTTGAGGTCTTTACAGTGCAAAATTTGTGGACTTTTAATTAAGGTTTTTGATAGTTTCAAACGCTGAATTCTCATATTAAACTGTGGTTATTCGATTCGTGGTACTTTCACGCGTAAATTGAGACCAATTCGAACTCAAAACTCCACTCATGTCAATAATTATCAACAATTTTGTTGACGCCAAGCGGAGCAGGTAATACCGCTCATAGGATCGGCCACGTAGTTGCTCGACAGCACTCGAGTACAGATTAGGTTGCGGCGCGCGCGATACATGCAAAACCCTATGAGCGGCATTGGAATCGTGCCGAGCGGTATTACCCGACGGCGGGTAGTACCGCTCAATAGGCTCTCTCTTTTATTTTCAATCAATTTTGTAGATTCTAAGGAGAATTAGGCGTCTACACTTCGAGAATAACGAGTTCAATAGTTAAAGAAATCCCACAAATACTTTTTTTATACTCAAGTTGGAATATAAAATATAAAACTGGCATTTCCTCTTAGGTGGGCGGTACAGGCACACCCTCCCCTAACACATTTGATAATATATACTTACTACTACCCCAGTGACCAGGATCGATGCCATATTGACTCCAACAATAAACAGAAGAGCTATATTGTAAGACGATTCGAGATCTTCCACAAACCTGCGATAAAATAGACATCAATTCAATTTTTATACTCTTGTTCTAATTCATGCTGCTCACTTGAGAGTCTGTGTTTGCAGGCGAGAGCATCTTTTTATGTGATTTACGGTCATTTGAAAATTGTTTGATATCATGTTATGAGTTCTTAGGCCTTGCGTATAATCCTCCGCATATAAAGTCTTTAAATGTAACCTTAAAAAAATGAAAATATCATTTTATAGTTTAGCTTGTGCATTTGAAATTGCCTTACTTCAGAATTTCAAACATTCCACACGCATGCTTGATCAGAGTTGCAAATAAATTGTCAAAAACGACGATTATACCTAGAGAGATAGACACCGTCACATAAGAATGAATTAGTATATATGCATAATACTTTTCTTGATCAATGAAGAATTCTGTTTGGTACAGAAATATTCGTGGCCGACTCTCATTCAGCGGTTTCAAATAATCCAAAATTCTTGGAACTGCAGGTGAGCAAAAATAGATTATCGCAATTCCGTAGAGAGTTGCTATTTCATATTTTTCCATAAAAGAGCAAGAAATCAAAAATGTTAATTTTCAATAACTCATTGGAGGAGCTCGAAATTGAGTAGAGGAGTAGCCAAATCTACGGAATCTGCCGGAATCATTTCAGTGCCTAATTTTCCTATCCACCAAAAATTACTTGACATTTCGCTCTACAATGACCTGTTTACGAGAAACAATCGTAGTTGACCACTCCGCTACTGCATTCATAGGGACGTTTGATTTCAACTCAAGTACTTGCATAAAATATATTCAAACGTCGTGCGCCCTCCGAATACGTATGCAGCAATTTGAGATCACATTCCAATTTCAAATCTTTCCAATCTCTCTCGATAGAAAGTAATAAATTTCGCATCTAGAGAATCAACATACTTATTATTCAATTTGACCTGACTTATGAAAATCGGATTAATTCGCATTAAGCAGCAATTACTCGGTCCTCCATTATTATCCAGTTAATGAACTTGATGAAGCCCATTAGGTGGCATCCAATAAGAGGTAAGCACTCAACGCCGATATCCAAATCGGTCAAGGACTCGATGAATTTGATTACCTGATTCCAATAATAAATTGCTTAAAGTAGTTAATTTTGAAATTCAATAACAGCCAATGAGAGGAGATAAATCGACGCTTGACATGTTAATTATTTAATAAATATTTAAAAAATAAATAGCTTGTACTGTGCTGTATTTATGAGAATTTTTATCCCTCGGAAAATGGTAATCTTGTGAAGCCTTATAATCCTACTCATTGATAGGATACTTATAAAATACTTTACACTATTGAGGACTAACAATGATACTAAATATTAACTAATCTAAAGCAGAATTAAGATAAAGGATAACAGAAAATGAACAGAAAAATTTTAAATAATTTTATATAACTGATGTTAACAAATATTAAGGAGAGGAGCAGGACTACATAGGTGTAAAACAAAGAAAAACATTTGTAACACCAAAGAGATGAATAAATAAAATAAATAATACTTTACACTATTAGAAAATTACGCCTGAAATTTCAAGTAAAAAGTCTTGAAATTTTTAACAATCACTCATTCACACGAAATTTTCATGTATTTTGTTGTTGAAAAATTACTTAAAGTCTGGAGTGTTCAATGGAATTGCGATTTTCAGGTCCACATGATAATGAAAATGATTAAATAACTTGAAAATTCAGGCAACAATTTCAGTGAATTTTCAATTCACTGAAAATTCAGTTGGATCTGGTGTTCCATTTCCGCAATGAAGTTGAAAATTCTAGATGTCGTTGAAATATCAGTGATAATCTAACATGGAAAACCCTGTTATCCTGAATTTTCAATCTGAATGAGAGATTCTATGAACGATTTGATCTTGAATTGAATTCAGTTTCATAACATTGAGAATTTAAATGCAACTATTGCTTAATTTTCAAAAAATTTCTAACAATGTACAAGGTATGATTCGACTTATCTTCTTATTCCTTTCGACTTCAGAATGCGACAGAATGCTGCCTACCTTCGGTATGAATATGGTACTAACAATAAAAAATGACGAACATCTCAAAAATCTCTTTCTCCTCGCCGATTGGAATGGCCAATGCCCGATGAATTGCAAACCCCATTTGGTAATTCGGTAGTACGAGTGATCGAAGAGGTTCTGCATGACAACTGTGGAGAACGACTGACGCTTAAAAGGTACCGAATAAGTCGAAATGATACGTCAATTGTCAGCCTCATTGTATATTCGGTCAGACGTTACAGAGAACCAATTTCGTATTCAGACACTGGAAGTAGTCGCTATTACGGCAATTAAGCCGCTGAATCTTTTAAGCGCGCGAAACGTTTTGTATTTCTTGTTTCGGGAATTTGAAAGGGAAAGACAAAATGAAAGGACATAGAATACTGGACACTCATCAGCGATCATTACGTGCATAAATGGGTGGTATCAGTGACATAAGTTAGGTCTCTTTGAAGAAGAACAAAGAAGTCAAAGCAGACGGGGTAGACGGAGCCTATGGTATTCATTCACGTATTCTTCGCCTTCACAGGGGATCGCGTGATGGGGCAGTGAAAGGGGTTCTCTTCGATCATCCACTTCACGAAGCAGGGGTAGAGCGGGTTCAACATATCATTTTACAAAAAACCCGAAAATTCAACAAGGGTACTGGAGCGGAGAGAGGAGTTGCCGTACGTCCATCAATACACGGAGAGAAATGTTCAGTAAAAAATACGGAACTCTCACTTCACTCACCGATTACAGAATCGACTCAGAAAATTTAAGTGACGATATCGTAATTTTTCACAAGAGATTCAGATAAAAATTACGGGACGCTCCGGACAAATTCCGTGACAGTTTCGTAAAATTTCCTACAACCACATTTCGCTCCGGAATTACGGAAAAGATACGTAATTTGTATTGAATATTTCTCTCCGTGTAAAAAATCATAACCATGAGGATTACTCGAGGTATTTTCGATATTGTTTACTGAAAATGTTGACTGAATTTTTTGCGCTTCTCACAATTGCGTAGGTGTTTCATACGATACGCGAGTGATTCATGAAGAAATCCACTTCGGGTGGATTATTTCTTCAATAATCTGTTTATTGAAAACAGGGAATTGCTGCGAATCGATTCGAATGATTATTACCAACGGAATTGGTAGAAAAAAAAGACTGTCGGATAGGCTCGAACAAGTTGTGATTATAATGTTCACGTGCATTTGTAGGTCGCAATAATATTTCCAACTAATAATTTTTAAAAAAATTGAATTTTTAAATTTACTTCATGTGTCCCTTTAAAGGGTAACAGAGGGCTACCGTTTCCTCGAAATTTTCAAACAAATTTCCTGCTCAAAGTTATTAATATGTTTTGAACCAAAAGCACATTCATTTCCATTATCGCTTCCTGGAGATTAATGTGCTTGGATTTGTAAAAATATCGATAACTTTCAGCAGGAAATTTGTTCAAAAAATTGGTAAATTAACGGCATTCTGTTACCCCTTAAGGGACGCATGTATAACTTCCCGATGCTAGTTGAAATTTGAAATTAGAAATTCGGAAATTTCTTACGAAACATTTAAGTTCTTTCAAATTCCATTTTCTCGAATTTCAATTTTGACACTGTTTTTTTGAAAAACTCAAAAAGGGGTGGGGGGTTTTCTCTCCCAACCTAGTCCAGTCTTAAGGGCTAACGGCACCCGTCGCACGCAGAGGTTAGGGTTACCCCCTATCGGTATTGCAGGCTCCCGTGTTTTTTTTGATTTTGTACGTGAAAAGTACAAAAGCCCATAAAATATAAATAAATGGATGTAAATAAATAATAATGATATGGAAACATTCTGCATCATCTTCTGACTCGTAAAAGTACTACCCCTGAAGGGGTAACAGAACCGACCACAAAAAGACGTTTCCCAAAAATAAGTTTTCTTGGATTCTATGCAATGAGAATCAATCAAACTTTTTCCACGTATTGAGAGTAGCGGAACGCATCGCTCTCTTCTCATGCTTTTCTTATTTATGCACAAAAAAATTACAAATTATTTAACGGCAAGGACCAGGGCAGGGCCGACGCCATTTTATTTGTAGGAATCTGCCAAGTCATGGTAGAAAAACCGATTTTTTGTAGATTTTTCTTAGCCGATGGCTATTTTCATGAGAAGAGAGCGATCGAGTGAGGTCCAAGACAGATTTGAAGTACAAAAACGTACTTTTGTTGCGTAATTTTTGTAAAAACTTGTTTATGATGATTGGGTGCTATCCAGGAGGCAACATGTCCTTTACAGGCCATCAATTGTAAGAGGGAAGTACTTTTACGAGTCAGCAGATGATGTAGAATATTTCCATACCATTATTATTTATTTATATCCATTTATTTATATTTTATGGGATTTGTACTTTTCACCTACAAAATCCAACAAACCACGGGAAGCTGCAATACCGATAGGGGGGACCCCTAACTTCTGCGTGCGACGGGTTCCGTTACCCCTTAAGCAAGTGAATCACTGATCTCTATATAACTGAATAGCCGATCCCTATGGCAGCCAGTGAGTTTATTAGAGAGGTACGCAGCGCCTCCGGATAGTAGTCAGCAAACTAAGATTCTCTCTAGTGCACATGTCCGTGTCAGCTGCAGGTAGTGGGGCAGTGGTAAATTTACCGAGAGCATTGGGAAATATTATAGGATATTTTACCGTGTAGGACATCCAGAATAACAGACGAACTTTTGTTAATAATCAGTGAAAACTGACATTGTCTATAAACGCGAAAGGAAGCCGAAGCATGGAGGAATGTCGAAATTAGTACAATTGTTATTAATATTGTATTATTAATGAATTGTATAATCGTTAATAATTGAAATTTTAAAAATTGAATTTTTAAAAATTACAAAGAATCGCCAAAGAATGTTATTAGATTTTTTTAATCGTCATTTTTTGCTAGATTTAATTGACGTTTTAGTTTTTTCAAAAAATCAATTTTGAAAAATCAGGATTTAACCCACTGTCTTATGTCAAAGTCCATAACTTTGTTGTAGAGCAAGATTGAAATCGGAATTTTTGACTCAAAATATGAAAAAAAATCAAGAAATTTTTTGACACATGATACAACATGAATGACCGTTTTTTAAACAATATCCATTATTTATTTATAAAACGGAGATGTTTGAAAAGAAAACAATATGTTGAAAAATGTCATTTAAATGATGTTGATTGTGTATGAATTTTTTATAAATTTTCTCACGTAATTTAATGGAAAAATTTAATAATTGAAAATCTCGACATCTATAGTGTGGTCAGTATGAACTTGTAGCCTACTGATGAGCTACTTTAAGGAAATTAATGTATTCAGGAAATTGGGAAACTCAAAATAAATATTCAACTGAATTTATTCGTTCGAAATTTTTTTGTATTTATTAAACTATAATACACCTAGACTGATCGGAATTTATTGATTGAGTATACTATACTAATTTTACCTTTTTCAATTATTATTTACAATTTGGGACGGAGAATGATTCCACGGCAATTTTCCGAGCACGTGGCCCCCACTGCGGCGCGCATGCGCACTGACGTCATCTTTAGTACTTGAGCTACTATACGGCAGCGCTGGCTGACACTTCAATTCGCCTCACTTTGAGAGTGGTGGGAGCATAGGGATCAGCGATCCAGTTATATAGAGATCAGTGAAGTGAATGCCTGTCGATCGCGACCAACTTCATTTCGATTGCACACACACACATACTCTTTTCTAAAAACCATCTGGGCAGCTTCTACTCTTCATGAACCGTCGACATTTCATGAAATTACGATTTTTCATTTCCGGGGTGAAATCAATAACTTCCAATCGGGAAGTTAATAAATAAAAGGTCTTCCTCGAATAAAAAATCCCCATCATCTATTTAATGACTAGTTTTATTATGATTACAATAAACAAGTGGCTCCTATAATAAAAAAATTGAATCATAAAAATCCAAAGTATGAGAAAATTAATATATCACAGTCAAAGATGATTTTTCCGAACCAAAAATGACAAAAAAAAACATAGAAAAATACGAAAGCACTCAAAATCAAAACCGAGCTATTCTTTCAAATAAGAAAATAATTCATCCATTCAAAATAATTACGCAATAACATTAATTATCATTAAGTAATTTCGTTGATAAGCAGAAATGAAGGAATATAATCTAAATAATTATCGAATGACGGAGGGATAGTACAGAGAGTTGAGTCAAGTATTTATGATGTGACAATTAGAGCTGATTACATTGACAATAGAACGATTATTGATTATATTGCGAATAAAATGGGCAGTATTTCGACTATGTCCAGCCCATTGTCATCTGGGTGTTGTCTCGTTTTGACGTAGACGCTCGCATCGACGAGATTCGTATCCACCACGACCACGTCCACGATTCTTTCGTCCATGGTGATGATGATGATGGTGATGATGATGATTATTGTGAGAGCCACGATTATCACTTTGCTTGTCCTTTTCTGCATTACTTTGTTGATGATTGTTCGAGTGCTTCGGCTCGGGGACTTGATGGTGTCGCTAGAAATTGAGTGAATCCATTTAATTATTTCGTTTTTAAGAATTCAAGGCATTGATTGGGAATAATTAATTATCAGGCGGCTTTTAATTCGATTGTTTGCAATTATCTGCTGGACTCGGGACAATACCGGGACGATTTTACCTTTTATTGAATACTCTTTAAATAATAGAATGAAAACTATACGGATTGTTATCATTATCAATAGTAACACTTATGTATAATCATGTGATGAAGTTTTTTTTTCGAAATATCAACATTACAGCGAGAACAAAAATAAAATATTCTGGAGGTACAGTGGTGGGGGGCGTGGCGCTGCAATTTGCTAAGCATCAGTGACAAAGTGTCGTAGAAAAAAAAAGTTCTCTTCCGAAAGAGTCAGATGTGGGAAATAGCACAATATTTTCAGGGAGAGAATCACCTGCCGAAGATTAAGAATCTATTTGGCCTTGTATTTCTTTACATTCGATAAAACAAAATTCACATGTTTGTATAAACTGGATGAAAATTCTATATTCCTCCAGACCGTCCATGTATTGGCCATCCACCGTCCATCTATTGGCCCTAGCCTCCAGTTATTGGGGATTTGGACGATATTCCACTTTTCCCTCATTTAATTATTCTTCTCTTCATTTGTTCGACTTCAAATTATTGTTTTTACCTAATTCGTTCATTCTTTCAGGTCTAGAACTCATTTTTTATTCATTTAGCTACTTCCTCGATTTTACATCCTTTAATGAAGTTCAACATTTATTGTTAAACTTCCCTCTATAAAAGATATTTTTATTCTGAAAAGACACCGTCGTGTATGAATGATCCGCCTATTGAACCAAATATTTCGTTGTTGTTGAAACAAGAGCAATTATTCATGACTGAGACTTTCAAATTCGAACCAATTATTTTTTTGGTAATTTTCAACTAACGATTTTGTTGGTCCAAACAAGACTTGTTTGAGAACTTGTTCATTTTTCTTTCAGTATATTATTAATAATAATTACTTTGAAAGTGGCAAAATAACACAGTCTTACAAGAAAATGAATTTTTCAAGGTCGGAAAAAAATGAAAATGTAGAAAATCTCGAAAAATCAGTTTAAAAAAATAAAATTTAAAATTCCCGAAAAAAATTATCCATCATTGATCATTTCTTACATGAATCCTAACTTTGACGAGCATAAAAAATTCATCAACACATCAACAATAGTTTATGAAATTAATGTCCATTCGAGGTACCCAGAAACATTATTTATCTCAGAAGCTTGACATTGACGATAATTTTTGTATTAAACATAACGTTTTCATAATTTTTTCTATTTTTTCTATATTTTAATCTCTTCTCTAATCTGGCAAAATTCATTTTCTCACAAGACTCTGTTGTTTTGCCACTTCTGAACCAATTATTATCAAGAATACTAGCCTGCCAATTGAGCACGAACTCAACCAAAATGTTTTTATTCATATCAACTTTCGTTTAGAATTCATTTCAATTTTTTTTTTTAAGCTTCCGAACCCCATTCAGGCTCATTAGGCTACATTGATTTCAAATTTTCATCTTCAAAATTTACGATATGTTTATACAACTTTAGGAAATCTCCGGCTAAGTTTGAATAATTGATTGTGAAAGATTTACCACATTAGAATTAGCAGCGAAAGTTGGGAGACTGGGGCCAGCAGGTGAAGTGGGTGTCTCAGCGCCAGCGACAGAGTCATCCTCGGTTCTCAGCAGCATCTTGGTACCCTCAGCCTCGGGATCGATGATTCCTCCTCTCTGTTGTTGCCGTACGAACAAAACCGACATTTGCCGTTGTAATTCGCGTAATTCAGCGGTGACGGAGAAGTCGGTTGCTGTCTCCACGTCGATCGGTGGTGCAGCTGAGCAGAGACTCTCGACATCACAGTTTATTGACTCTCGGCAGACTGGACATATTGCCTGTAAATTAGATAAACAGAAAATTGAACTAATTGGTGTTGTTAATTTCCTTTAATGATTCGAGTTATGAGCAGACAAGTCGATGCTGGGGCTTTCGTCTCAATTTTTTTTGAAAAGGTGGAGATTAGACAGAAATTTTGAAAAAAGAACAATTAAAAATATGGATAATTGCAGCGATCGGTCGTCAATCATTACATTTGTAATATTTTGTAATATCTTTAGAATTTGCACCTTTCTATTACTATGGTTTTCTTAAGTTAAGGTCCCGGTGTACTCTCTTTCGAATGTTATCTGGATTTTTTTCATCTTTCGTAATCCAAAATTATCAATTGAGTGGTACATCATGTAGAAATTCCCAAAAATTATGATAGAATGATTAAAAAAAATAGAAAACATTCTGAACTTTTTCAAAGAGGGTTTTTAATTGAGATTCAGAATGAGTTGACAAACGTGGAAATTACAAATATCTGATTCATTGTGGCAAATTATTTATTAGCTGTCATTTTCCATGGTGGATAACAAAAGGCTGTGACTATTCGCACCATTGCGTGAATCACTCCCGTACACTCCATACACTCCACGCATGCGTGAAGTTTGTGTGTTTCACGCAGCCGAATTGTCATACTGCTGTGTATTTCACGCAGTTGAAGTTTCATACTACTGTGTGTTTCACGCAGTTGAAGTTTCATACAACTGTGTGTTTCACGCAGTTGAAGTTTCATACAACTGTGTGTTTCACGCAGTTGAAGTTTTATACTACTGTGTGTTTCACGCAGTTGTATTTTTATACTACTGTGTGTTTCACGCAGTTGTATTTTTATACACCTGTGTTTCACGCAGTTGCATTTTGATACGCCTGTGTGTTTCATGCAGTTGAANCCCAAAAAAACATTCATATCTTGTCTGACATCGCTGCTACAAAGATGTCAGACAAGATATGGATGTTTTTTTGGGCTCAAACGAAAGAGCGGGCCGCGAAATTGAAAGCCCGAGTTGAAGACCCGAGTTTGTAGCAAAGATGTCAGACAAGATATGAATGTTTTTTT